CTCTCTACTCCTCTTCTCTCTTCTCTCTCTCTCTCTCTCTCTCTCTCTCTCTCTCTCTCTCTATCTATCTATCTATCTATCTCTCTCTCTCTCTCTCTCTCTCTCTCTCTCTCTCTCTCTCTCTCGAGTTCAAGCTCGATCGACTCGAGCATGGGAAACACGGCTTCATCGAATTAACGTCTGGCCAACGGTGCGTAATTTCACTTCGTGGCCGGAAAGCGAAGATCGGCTGTGTATATAGGGGATCGAACTAGGGGCAAGCTAACGGTCGTAGAGGGAGCGATTAAACGGGAAGGACGATTAAGAAAACCGAATTGCATCGGAACGATCACGGCGCATAAACGGGGGATTTCCCTCCGCGTGATGGACGGTCAACAATGGGAGCCCGTTTCGAAGGCGAAAACAAAAGAGTCGTACACGTGGACGAGAACGTGAACAATGAGGAGGTTAGGCTAGGTTGGTCGGCACAATTAGTCTCGCCCCGATGGGGAGAAATCTATGCTTGAAACAAAAGGCGCGGGCGGTAAACTCGCGTAAATATTTCCGCTCGTTTCGATAATTACGATCTGCGAATCTGAACGTGGATGTTTTCCAAAGAATTCTTTTCCATTAAATTTACAGATGATCGGATTTGGAGAATTTTCTTTTTTTTTTTTTTTAACTAATCTTATTCGAGCTACCGTTCATCAAATATCTAACGGAGTAATCGTTTTTAAATATTTATCTTTTTTAAATAGAAAAGGCAATGAAATAGAGATAATATTAAAGCAGAAGAATATATGAATATGCGTGAGGATACTCGATTTTTTTAACAAATATTCAATTTTCTGAAAGATTCGCTTGGATTTGCTTGTTTTACTTAATTTTAATGAGACGAGGAGTGGGTAAATTCGAGAAACGCGGAAAAAGAAACGTTCGCATCTTCGGAACGTTTTATCCGTCTATATTCCCAGCCATCGTCTGCCTGTCCCTGCGAGATTATTTTAATCCCACGATTATCCACCTCTTTATCAAACGCTCGGACTTTATCCTCCAGGCTTATTCCCTCCGATGGAACCGGAATAAATGGCCGCCAAAAATGAAACGAGAAACCATTCGATTCGATTCATAATTTTATCGAACTTCCCTCGAGTCGATCAAGACTCTTGGATACGCGCAATCGTGCCAAGTTATAATTCTCCTCGAAAGAATTTATACTTCGATCGAACGTTAAGGAAAGCTGAAGAGAGCTCGAAAGATCTTCCGATTTTGTTTGTTGTTCGCGATCGATGAAAACCGAGATTACGGCGATGACTTACCGGGTCTCTCCGCTCTCCGGGCTGCATCCAACACTTCTTGATGTCCCACACACTCGTCCGAATTGGAATTCTCCGGGAACAGGTCGCATTCCAGATACTCGGGCAGAGTGAGGCCGAACACGTCCAGGAAAAATCCGCAACGTCTCTTGGTATCTAGGCAGAAATTCGAATTTCTCCAGGAATTTGACATTCGACCATCGTTTCCTAATCGATATATATATATACAAGAATTTAAACCATTTCGGAGAATTACAGGAATTTAACACGCAGTTCGAAATCTTCTTCTATCTCGATGAGAGTAAAAAATTTTTTACGGTTGCTCGAAATCGTTAAAAATTCCCTTCCCGTACTTTAACGACTCGTGATGAAGATTTTCGCCCAAACATGAATTGCACGAGTGGGACTCGTGAACTGAAAATCGGGCCAAACGTAAATATCACGAAGTGTAAAGTAGCTTTGCATCTACCAGAATGCTTTAGAAAATATCATACAGGACTATTAATTTTTAAAGTAAGTATTTTCCTATTTGATATTGATTCGAGGTGAGCATTTCTTATAATTAAATTTTTTGTTTGTAATATACTATTTGTTTTTAAGTATTATTGGATTCCTTAGAACAAAGTATTGTTATTATCTATTAAAGTATTGTTATTTATGAAATATAGTTTTGAAATTGTTATTCGCAAAAAGAATTATTGTTTACGTCCACAAGAAAGCAAATGACTGATATTTATTTCTATATTTTATATTTCGTATCGCGACTGTTCTCGAGTATCGCTCTGGTCTACTTACGCGTTGATCCTTACAGTTTAGGCTCGGGAAGGGGTTAAGGATTAAGGAGAAAGAGATATCACTCACGATAGCAGAGGCTGCGACAAGGTCGCACCACGTGGCCCCGAGATCCGCATTTCGGGACGAATACGCTGCACAGAAAGAGGGCGGCCAATTCGTAGCATTTGACGTCGATCACGGCACTGTAAAGTTCCAACTCCTGTTGAGCGTCTCGCTGCCCGAAATTGCCCATGTAATTCGGGAAGATGGTGAAATTATACGGGATCTAGGGAGATCGGCACACGTTAATTTCCTGTCTGGCTTAATTAATCTCCTTTTAATTAGAACGACCAACGTCCCCCTTAAATTCGCGCATCGTAATTCGCGACGAATAAGCATGATTACTTAGCTCTCTCTCTCTCTCTCTCTCTTTCTCTCTGTCGAGGAAATTTTTCGTCGATCGAGTAAATTTACTTGGAACAATTTTAACCCTTTCGCTGCGACTATAATCGCTCTGCATAAGATCGTATCGTGCGAACGATTGGAGTTATCGCACATCGAGTATCTTCCTCTGGAAATGTAATAAACACCGTCGAAGCAACTTGGGTCGCAGCGAGGCATAAACGCGACCGCTGACTATCTTTCTCGAGCACCGTGCACATTTTTCAAGATGTCGCCCGTAGCGAAAGGGTTAAATTAAAGAATCCGCGAAGAATGCAAATTAGAAAATTTCTTCTCCTCCGTTTTTAACTCGAATAAGTGTATATTTATCTTCGATTCAACAAATATATATCCTGTCCTCAAAAAGCCTCGAAGTAAAGACACGTTAATTCTATTTGCGAGCGAGAAGTATATTTCGAAATATGCGCGATAAGAAAGACAAATATCGTTGAACAAGAGGGATGAGCAGTGTCGATACCTCGAGGAAGAATATCGCGTGACGCGCATCGTCTTGATTCCTAGAGACGGATTCCATGCCGAGGGAAATTATCACGAAGAAAATCACGCACGGCACGTGGAAGGGCTTACCTTATGGTATTTGCAAAACGCCACGATTATGGGCAGGCACACGCCCGGGGCCGGATTCTTCTCCTCGATCGCCGGTGGGGCACGTTCCGTAACCGCGACCATTTTCGTGTAGATCGTCTTGTTCTCCACCCTTATGAGCGTTTCCGGATACGCTGGAATGATAAGACAAATCGGTCACATTGCGTATCGTGCACACTTATACTTGCTATACGGCCAAAAGGAAAAAAAATGCTTTATAAACTAAAAACTAACTATATTATTTTGTAAAAATTTTTATAAACAGATCCAATTGAATTTGTACGAGTTTGTATCAAAATAATCGATTCATTATAAGGAACGTATCCGTTGTAAAGCGAGGTATGGGTGTATTTAGTTTCGAAATTGATCGAATCTTACCTAACGCACGAAGCATCCTTTTCAGAAGTTGCGCTGAAAGTGTTTGGCCAACGCACCTCTAATGGACGCTTGCGAGAAAAGTATCGCACGACACGCTCGAGTGCCCTCCTATCATCGCGCACAGCACACGATACGTTGTATAAGCAACTCTTTCAAGAACTCGAACGATACGTGCAATTTTCTTCCTACGAGAACGAGCCTTACCTCTCGAGTTACCTCGAATTATTCTCGAATTGAATTTCACATCCCCCTTTATTCACGAATACAGCACGGAGTCATCAAGTTACGATTGTTGATCGATCAACGAGTTTTTAATTGTTGCTCGAGAGGAGGAGGAGAGGGAGGGGGAGGAGGAAGAGGAGGGAAGAAACAGAGATCCATCCATGTAATGGAAACGATTGCATCGAACAAAGTTGCGGTGTTGATATTCGAGAGGAAGTAGCAACGGGGGAACCGGGAGCTCTATTGATCTTCCGCTCTCCACAAACTCTCTCTCCCTCTCTCTCTCTCTCTCTCTCTCTTCTCTCTTCTCTCGCTACGTGCTCGTGCATTATACCACCTAACGTCACCAACATTTACGTTTGTCACCGCGCAATAACGTCCCACCGACACGTTTCATCGGCGATTCATTGCCGTGGAACGAGAGAGAACGGCGAAGGGGATGGGCCGTGGACGCGGACAAACGGCGTGATACACGCGCGCGCCCGTTTTATGACGAGGAAAAAAAAAAAAAGAAGGAGATGATGTTCACTTACACTTGAAGTAAATGGTCAGACCACCGGCAATGACCAACAGAGCGACAGCGTTGAAGAACACCTGGACGAATCTGAAACGCAATCCCCCGTTGGTTACGTAGTGGCTGCTGGCCATGTCACCGATGATCTGCAAATCATTTCACACACAAATTGTTCCGGTTAATCGAATCCAAAGTGGGGAATAATTGGTTAATTTATAGACCCTTTCGGGATATCGAGTTCCTTATGCAAATCGTCCAATGGAAGTTAAGTTAAATTAGATTTAAAAAAAAAAATGATCAAAATTTTTTATTTTAACGAAAATTTTGCAAGAGAATCGTATTGAATAATCGGTACTTGAATTTTTTCGTCTCGTTAATTTCTTTTTTTTTTAATTAAAGACGTAAGAGACTGGCAAGCAAATATTCGTATATCGTGTAAAATGCATTTACGAATCAGGCTCCATTATTTTTACATCCTCAACACTCGAATTCCTCTCGTTTCAATATATCGGATACATTGATGAAGGAGAACTATTTTGGACGTAAGAGGGGTATATCCTCTCGGTTTATCCTCGTTCGCGTAATTGGCAGACAGAGACTACCGAGTCGGACGAATTGGAGCAAATATTAGTCCTCGACGTCGATCGTACACGCTCGTAACAGATCCCGTGTTTGAGGAGTCAACGCACCCTGTCTACACGACTGGTGCTCGACCCTCCGTTGGCCGATATCGATTATAATTTCCTCGCGGTCTTATCGAGCAAGCGAAGGACAAATTGCATTGCACGGCCAGCGTAAATTCTCTCCACCGATTTCGTTCGCCCCCCATTTTCCATTTTCAAACGAGACGATATCTCTCCACCCAATGGTAATTACATTCGAAACTTTTTCCATCCCTTTATTTGGGATGGAAAAGGGGCGGATTTCACGGTGTGACGTTGTTCTCTCGAAACGGGGTGAGATTAATTCTAATCGTTTTTCTCGCGAGGATTTCATTTTGTAATTTTATATATATATATGTGTGTGTGTGTGTGTGTGTGTAGATAAATATTAAACGTTTAAATCTTTCGATATCCATTGACACGCTCGAAAAGAGATTGTAGAATAAACAGTAGTACAACAGGAAGGGAAAATCCTCGTCGAGTAATATTGAATTTTCGTACCGTTTCGTTACACGCGTTACAATCGATTAAACCGTCATCCGTATCAACCTTGTCCTATTTATCTTTTGGAACTCGCTTCGTAACAAAAGGGGTGGAAATTCGCCGTTAGAACAATATTTAAGACTCGAGCCCGCTTTGCTCGGCCGAGATATAAATTAATATTTATACAATCTACATTACTACAATCCTCTGTTAGTATAATCTCACCCCTTGTTCTTCGCGTTAAAATTTTCCCCGTTTCCGTTCTGTTAACATCTGATCGGTTAATTAGACACGAATTTTCCACGCGAGGAAAACGCGCGTGATTAACGAAAAAAATTTAATTCGCAATTATTTTTCTCGATAAAAAGCGAACGATGGAAAGAAAGGAGGCGGGGGAGAAAAAGAGGAGTTAAAAATCACGAGGGCGATTAATCGGGGCAATTAAAAGAGCCGGCTGCTCGGTTTTCATAAACCGAGGTTGCATTTGCTGTCCTGCAAATTTCGCGTTTATTATCGCTCGTATTGCTATTTTCGGCGTTAATAACGGCCCCGAGCATTCGATGTGTAAAGTGATATCGTGCTCGATACGGGTTTCCATCCGACGTTTCCATCCCTATCGTGGAAAGCGCGCACGCAACAATCGGGGAAAGAACAAACGCGGCCGATTCGGGACAAAAGGAAATAAATAACGCGAGCTATCGATCCCCTGCGGATCTCGCGTACGTTTATTCAGTCCGTAGCATTAATCCACCATCGATAATCGCCTACGTCGCGAGAATATCAAGGTATCGAGCTCGTATCAACCGAGATAACGTATCGTGTGTTGATTTTTGCTTCTATTGAAAAGCTGACTCTTTAAAACGCGGATCATCTTGTACAAGGGGGATAATGTAGATTTGAAGAAATTAATTCGTTTTTTTTTTTTCTTCTTTTTTAAATGCCTACGTTCCTTTTACGTCTCTTCAAAAGCGTGCATCAGTTTACACGACATTCGGAACGATTCGAATATATCGTGGTGGAATAAAATCTAGTCGGAGAAGGATTTACTCCAAATGATGCTTTTTGTCTTTCTTGCAGAGAGTATGACCGAAAGGATTGCCCGTGTTCCACGAACGTAAACGGCTCCTTCCCTCTCGTGAATTTATTACTCTCGTGAATCGATCGATGTTGGTAGTAAGTTTGCATTGATGGCCCGAGGATTGGAACAAATCGTGGTATATTACCCTTCATATCTCGTAAAACTGATGTGACACGAGATGTTACAAATGTTTCGAATCGATGTTATAAACGATTTAACGATAAAGACGCTGGATCAATCATTAAAAACAAAATCCTCCAAATTTATTCGCGTTACTGATTTACGATACTCTTCGATTCGCCTCCGAATCTCTTGAAATCTCTCCTTTAAACTCCTCGTAGCCAAAAGAGAGATTAAATTAAATTAACCAACGATCCAATAATACCCCAATAAACATTCTGCATTCCAGAATTATTCTATCCCGTAAATAGATGATCATCAGAAAAGAGCAGTACACCAAAAACTCGTCATCGTCTTCTCTCCAATTCCTCCTCGCGTATCGTCCAACTTCCGGCCGACCAATTAAACCGTATCGGCCTCAAACGTTTCTGCAAACATTTCTGTCAACAAGAGGCTCGCTTTGCAATCTGCCCACCGAATTTCGCCTCGAGCCTTTCGAAATCGGTCGACCCTTAATTCCGCCTATATTCCCTCTCTCTCTCTCCTTTCTCCATCCTTTCCACGGTTGCGTAACAACAGCGATGAACGAAACGAACGCAATCGATAATTCGCGGGGAGCTCGAAAGAATTAATCGTGCCGTTTTCAAATCGTTACGTAACATTGATATCCGAGCGATTGAAAAACTTGATTTGAAAAAGGATACGCTACCTTGTGATGCAGGGAGCTATTGTTCCCTCCGTGAACTCTGACGATCGCCTGGAGGCTGGCCGGTGTGCTGGTCGACTTGGTGATCGTTCGGCCCGACGAGTTCTCCGGCTCCGAGACCAGTGCTCTGTCTGAAAATTCCCGCCAGGAATTTCATTAACATTATCTGGATCCTTGAAATAGATATCGCTACGTCTGTGAGTGTCTTTCTGTGTGTGTGTGTAAGAGAAGTTGGAAAATTGGAATGTGTTATAGGTAGAGTGGAAGGGCGCATTCGAATCACCGCGTAAAAGGAATCGCGATCTGTTCGCTTTTGTAACAAACGAGCCGAGGCGATCGAACAGAAGGCGGAGAAGGAGGAAATGACATGGGGAGGGAGGGGGGGGGGGCGAGGATGATTAATCGAAATCGACTTTTCCTTCTCTTTCTTTCCGTTTGTTTAAAAAAAAGAGAGAGAGAGAAAGTTGATATATTCGGCGTGAAAAGAAAAAAATGTTGCCAATGGAAGAAGTGTTGGAACGTGGGATGAGATTTAAAAAAAAAGTATGATTGATCGTGTTCGTTACCGGTGAACGTGTAAATACATTAGTCGGGGAAATTATACGGATTTGTGATGTAACTGCGAAGCTGAAACGAAGGTGTAACGTATCGGTTGCGATCGTCACTCTTTTTCTCTCTCTCTCTCTCTCTTTCTCTCTCTTCAGAGATATTTTTTGGACCGATGGATACTATTTTACAGGGGAACACGATTTATCGAATTCGTAAATGTTTAAATCTACTTGTTTCGATCATTTGAAAATTTCCAAATCGGTGAATTCGATCGGTGAAACGAAATGAAAAATCGTAATCTATCGTTGTTACGTGATCCGATGGAACTTTATTATACAGGGGGAATTTTAGTTGACGCTCGATTAAACGAATTCCTGTTGATTGAATCCCCCGTTTATCTATACGTAAACTCGTATTATTTGAACGAGAAATTGTAGGTAAAGGAGAAAGAGGGAGGCGGTGAATTTTTAAAATTGCGTGTAAATTGCGTGTTTGTTTAAATAAATGGAATTACGATAATATTTGTCGAAGTTACGAGTTCTTCCAACATTCTGTATATCATACAATTACATATTGAACAAAATAATATTTATTGAACAGGATTTCCCTCCCTTTACCTGGCACTTTGCTGTATTTATGGGGTAAAAGAGGCGCCTCCATGGTCTTGCTGGTGTAACTGGGGGAGCTCGTCTGGCTGAAACTATCCGAGGAAACATTGCTGTCCTGACGGACGCTCATAGGCTTCGGCACGGAGCTCTGCGAGATCGCGCTCAGAGGAGGGGGAAGATTCGTCTGGGTCGCCTTCGGTAGTTTCTCCAATTTTTCGCAGTTCCTCTCTTTCCTAAGATTGTGCTGCAGGATGTTCCTCACCCTATCCATCTCCGCCTCGTACTTGCCGCGCGGCACAGCTTCAGCGGATTTCTGCTCGGAATGCAGCCGTCTCTCGAGATCCTGCGACCCTCTCTGCACCTCCTCGTACCTGATTTCGCCGAAAGAAAGAAAGATTGGATCGTTCGTTTTACGTTTTCGAAAGTTGGAAATTCTGAGGAAACACGTGGAATAAATGGAGAAGTAAGAACTTTGATGAAAGTAAGAACCTCTTCTCGTAGAATGTGAAGAACGCGCTGAGGAATAACTCGAAAGGATCTATCTTTCGCCTCTTCGAAAAATATCAAACATAATTTCAAAGATTAAAAAGCCTCGAGATTCGAAGTCGTTGTTCATTCTTCGCGGTGGAGGGTATTTTCTCTAAGATAAAAAGCCCCGAAGGATTTTACCTGCCGGATCCCTCCTCGTACAAACGTCTCTCGAGCTTCCTCGAGGCGGCCTGAAGCTCTTCGAACTTGCACCTCTTCTCCGCCTCGCGATGCGACCTGACCAAGGCTGCAAACTTCGTCTCCTCGTCCTGCGGGACCTCCCTTCGGGATGACGGTGTGATTTTTTCTCGAGGCTTTCTGTCTCCAACCTCCTTGAAACTCTCCTTCCCCGACTTCGACGACTGCATCCTATCCAACAACCACCAGACGTTGGACAACCGTGATCGTGAGCGAGGAAAAAAAGGGGACGAGAAAAAGTGGCGAGTGTGAAGTGGACGACCGATCAAATTATATCCCTCAAGTTCCATCGTGATGCGATTTATTTAAAAACCACGAAGTTCTGCACGGTGATATTACCACGGTGGTGATGTATGCTTCCACCCCTTTGATGCCTCCATGCCTCCATTTAACCAACCATCCCCTTGCTCTCTTTGTTTCGAAGGGTTCTTAAACGAAGTTTGTTGTAACGAAACAAACGGCCGAGGTTCGGGGGAGAAATAAGATTCTATTCTATTGAATCTATTATGAATCAAGGATGGGAAGAATTGTAAATTATAAGACGCGTAATTCTCTTATTAAAGAAATCGATTAAATAAAATATTCTCAATTATTACCTGTTCCTCGAGAAAGAAATTTTTTTCTTCGTTATTTAGAATTTTATCCAGTATTTCGATCAACCATTTCTGATACGATCTCTTCTTCGGGTCTCTTGGCTTACATCGGCCAATTTAGATTCGAACCGTGTCTATACAAAACCAGCCAACGAAAATGCAAAGAAGCGATCGATGCCACGAAACGCTTTCAACGCTCCCTCGGCAGGGCACTAAAACGCACGTGGCGAGCGAAGAGAGGAAAGTTGAAGCCGTTTACAAGGATGGCGAACCGTTTGCTCGAACAGTGAGATAGAGTCGAAACTCACGCTTCGTTTACCCCGTCGCGAGCGTAATCGGGCGTAACGTCTCGCCGCTAATTCGCGTGCACGAGCACGGTTCAAAGAATTCTGTTTATTTCACTCGCGTAAAACGCGATTGCCTTTGATTGTTATCGTTTCCAGAAAGGAAATTTAAGATTCCCCGTACTTTTTACAAAATTCCAACGAGGAGGAAACGAAGTCTCCTAGACGCGATTTCGTCCAACGGTGACACGATGACGACTTGCTGGTTCAATAGCGCGAATCAACGTTACGCGAAACGTGGAAAATTCGATGCGTGGATGGCTTAAAACGAGGGACAATTTTGTTGAAACACAAAACATCGCGTCAAAAATTTCAGATTTTTCTTTCTTGTCGTTCCACTAAAAACGATATTTTCGTAGAAAATTCAACTATTTCCCGTAATACGAAAATACGTATTTTCTACACGCGGGAATTTAATTATATCTGTTCGAAAATTGAACAAATCTCTCTCACCTGTTATTCTGCGCATTCGCTTGTCTCTGCCTTTCCTCCCTGCTCGTCGTCTGATCTTTGAACTTCGGCTCGCCGCTCGCTACGATCCTCTCGTGCAACCGCTTCTCGAGATCCCGCGACGCCTTCTCCAGCTCCTCGAAACTCGACTTCTCGCCCCGTTTCCCGCAATCCTCCTCGGAGAGGAAATTCGCCTTGTCGAAGTCCGCCACGAACTCGTCACCTTCGTTCGCCTCTTTGCCCGCGGCGAAGTTCAACGAGGCGTAATCGGTTTGTCGGTCGTGGGCCCGCGACGGGCCTAGATCGATCAACTTCTCGTTGTTCGGCCAGGAGTCGAGGGGCGCGGACACGATGGACGTCGGGTCGCTCGCTTTTCGGGCTCGACTCGTCTGTATCGGGATCGGTTTCTCGTTTTTGCTCCGTTTCGGGATCGCCGGCGGCCGCAACGGTATCGGTGGTGGAGCGACCTGGGGATCAACAAGTTCCTCGATAGAGTTTCCAGCCACGCTCGCTTCCTTCTACTCCATTGAGCTCCATTTCCCCCGCGTGGAGGAAGCTACTTTCTTTCTCTCTTTTTTTTTCTCGCATGCAAAATAATAACACGTGTGAAAGCAATTTTTTTTTTCTTTTAAAATCTTGAAAAATTTCGTTTCGATTAGATAGAATTAATAATAATATTTGTAAGGAAAAGAGAAAAGAAATAAGAAGAAGAAAGAAAATATAAGAAGGCAAGAAAAGTGGAAAAGTGGTTGCGTTGAGAGATACTTGCATTCTAACGGACTAACACCGTGAGCCTCCGTGCATCGTGTATCGTGTGTGTGTGCGCGTGCGTGTGCGTGTGTGTGGTGGGATAGACGTGTGGTTACAGTGACGATTGTCCCCGTGTCCAGACACGTCTATGCAAAGAACCGACGGATACAGCTTGATCCATTAAAGCCTCGTTTATCCACTAATTACGTGGACAACTCGAGCTAGCAACGAGTTGGCAACGGCGTTTCTGGAACGGGAAACGTTTCGTTCCTTCTACTCGATTTATCGAGATCACTTAAAACCAACCGGTCGAGATTACGCCTTGGCTTTTCGTCTTGGCTTTCGTTAATCCCGTTTCCCGCTAATCGCCGCGTGATTTTGACAAAAAATTGAATCGTTCCGCTTTTTTTTGCGTGAAATGGGACGTAATTTCCTTTTTCGTTTCATTGGAACATCTCTCACAAATAATGGTCACTAGCTATCTAATTCTAATCTAGGATAATTTAATAAAAGCCTCTATGTTTCTTTCCAACATAAAACTTTTCTTTCTTTGCTTTGCTTCGCTTTGCTCGAGAATATACGAAAAATATATACATTCGTTTATCGATCTATGATCTTTGAATTTCGAAGAAGAATAATTTAAACGAGATTTTTCGTTTTTTTTTTTTTTTTTTTTTTTTATTATATAGAACGAAAAGGACGGAAAGAAGAGCGTCGATTAAACCAGAAACGGATATTAATTCGGGCAGCAAGGCTATTTAAACTTTACTGACCGCAGGTGTGGCTGAATGGCGGCGCGGTATCGGCGGCGGAGTGCTACTTCCGGCGGGCGGGGGTTCCGGAAGCAGGGACGTTCGAGTCGGCAACCCGACGCTGTGAATTCTACTCTGCCTGAAATTTTACAAAAAGTGATATTAGCATTCTGGAGGGGAGAAATCGAACGAATTTGAAAAAATGAATAATGAATAAGAGTTTTTTTTTTTTTTGTATCTTTGAACGAAGCGTTTCTCGCGTGTCTCGCAAAGGGCATCACTGATACGTAAAAATATCTTATTGTTCGCGTCATCTTTGAAGGATCAAGTCGTCTAATTAGACGGCTCGATTCAGTGAGTGGCCTTTCAACGCTCCACCTCCTTTGTATAAACTATACTCGGAATCCGTCTTCGAAATGGAGAATCATAGAGATCCAAGATAATTAATACCTCAATTGATATCGATATATATATATGACATGAATCATATGAATGCACGCGAATGCTTAACATATCAAATTCTATTGAAAGTATATTTAAAAGTTGGTAACGAGGACAAAGTTCAAAGTTCGAAGAACTTGGAATTTCTTTTTTTTTTAAATACGATCTTCTTTCTGATTAATCTTGTTTTCCTAATTAACGATAAGAAAGAAAACGTGGAAAGTTTGCGATTAAAAAAAAGTCGTTTGTACCGAGTTCTTTCCATCGAGGAGAAAGAAGAAAATCGGATAAAAAAGGAGGGGAAAAGTTTTCCCCTCCCTTCTTCTTATTTCTAATGGAAAAGGCAAAACGGGGGATCAAGAGCGATCGAGATTGAAACGCGTGGAAATTTGAAAAACGATCTTTGGAAAAATCTTTGAAGTCCCGGTTCGGGAAGAGTCCTCGACACCAACTAAATCAAGAGGGATTACTTTTTAATTACCTTGGCTGACGCGTAGGACTCGTATCGCCGCCATGTGCCTCCGTTCCAGACATTTTAAGCGCTGCAATCAACGAGAAAAAGAAAAAAAAAGAATCCAGCATCAGTGGGAATGGGCACGTGCCGGAAATCGGATGCATCGAGTTACGAGGGGTCGGATCGAGGGATCGAGAATCAATTGATAAAAATAACCTGGTTTCGATTGGAAGCGTCCCTCTTTGAGAACCGGTTAATTACATAGCGCGATTCGTATGCTCGTCGTAATTTCAATCATCCCGCTGTAATTTCCCCCTTTCTACGATCAATTCGATATTTAATTACCAGTTTCTTTACAAAAGTGTACGCTCGCCGTAAATTAAATACAAGATTGAATTAAACAGCGCGGAAAAAGTAAAGTAAATTTACCCAACGAGATACAATTAATATATATATATATATTATATACGAGAAAATTATCAATTCGAAATATCTCAACAACCACGTCATCCGCTTGAAGAGTTAACTTGGCAAGAAATAATTCGCTTTGCGTTGAATTTACGTTGAAAAGTAAAGGGTAAAAAAAGAAGGGTGGGAGAAATGGAAATAAGCCACGTCGAGAATGCTACGAAACTGAAATTTCCATCGTGCAAAAGGGGGAGATCCTAAGTGGGTCACTTAAAAAAAAAAGAAAGAATCGGAAGGGACCCGTTAAAGCTTGTTCGAGCAAACAGACGATTCCGCGCATGGTGACAGTGCCACTTCGACTCACTATCAGGCGAAAGCACTATTCAATTTCCTGCTATCTCATCGGCCTGTGCACCCTTCCACGAGGGTTGGCCCTACCAGACTGCAGCCGGGGGATCGATGTGCCGGAACCCATCCCCCCCACAAAAGCACTCCTCGCCTCTCTCTCTCTCTCTCTCTCTCTCTGTAACACTTCCGTTTTAAATACGCGCCATATTCGTGTACCCCTTTTGTCTCGCGTCCTGTCACACGATTTTACCATTCGATCGGCAATTCAACTTACTCGCCGAACGTGCAACTTTGCCAGGCTACGCTCACTTTTTACTCGAACCGTTGCTTGAACTGAGGAAAGGGTCGATTCTTACTCGAGATTAAATTAGGGAAATGAATCTGAATTTGGATGGAATTAGATCTTTCAGATCTGATCAGATTTCCGGAAATGGAAATGAGATTGGAGAGGGATTGAGAATCTAAAAATTCTTATTCTTATTCGCACGCTTATTTATTAGCGATTTGAAGGTAGAGTGAGTCTTTTAACATTCCTCGTCGATGAGAAACGAAAAAGAATTGAACTTTCGTGTCTCGAACAATTTCCATCCAGTAAACCACTGGGTCAAGATGATCCTGACCCATATGTGTATAGTTCATTGAATAAGAATCGTTCTGACCTACATGCGGTTCCACGTTTGCAAAATAATCGTTTGAAATGGTTGTACGTGTTAGACATATGCCGTTATTACTTTAAGCCAAACTCGACACGATTATTTCATTAACTTTTTAAAGAGAAATCTCGTGCAAAGATCTCCAAGCAATGATGAGAATTTGACACGATTTTTTGATTATGTCGTGTTTCCCTCATCAACTTCATTGCATTTGTTTCTCGCTGTATTTGAAAACGCGTATCTATTCGTGTTACACTTACGAGTTGACGCTCGACGAATCTCTTTGTTCGTTTTCTTTTATTATATTTTGTAAAATAAGCGCGATCATTGACGAAATACGTTCGAAGCTTTGCCGGTTCGTGTAGACACAATGAGGCTAATCAGCAGTCTAAGCAGCTCATTGACATTCGTTACGCAGCTTCAAGGGTCAATTACGCAGACGAGAAATTAACACACCGATTCAAGCATCTTCCTATATATCTATAACCATCACAGTGATAGAAAATAAAGCTTCTAAATCAAGCTTCTCTCCTATTCTAATTTCTATTGATCCCGGAAAATCGAAATTTACGTTTTCGAAACTTCGATGGAAAAAAAAAGAATCTCACACTTTCATAAAAAAAAATATATATATATATATTTATACAAAGAAATTTCTAATGTAAATATTTCGCAATGTTATTACAATGTTTTATTTGATTCCCTTCTGTTTGTTTTTTCGGTTGAAAAAAACTTTTTCCACCGTTAACCTGTTCACTCTAGCGCGCGTTTCAGAGTTGCAAATGAAATAAAAAAACCAAAACTCGTATAATCGAATCACGCTCGGAAAGCGTTTCTTGCGGAATCCAGGGAAATGAAATTAAACCGATTGCCATCCTCCTCCTCCTGTGGCGACTTTCTCGAACTCGATTAGTATATACAAAAAGAGAAAGAAAAAAAAAATGTAAATTTCTCTATACCACGGCGAATATCGAATTCTAATAATTCTTGGAACCGCGAAATGAAATTGCGAGGTGGCAATGAGAGAGAAAAATATATTCGCGAACGAATTTCAACGATAGAAGAGGAACGTAATATTCGTCGATCTGAAATCATTTATTCGCAATGATATCTAATGAATTCCGGACTCTTTGAAAAAAAGAAAAAAGAAAAGAAATTAAATCTTTTCGTTTGACGTTCTTTATTAAATTAAAACTTCGATTAGAAGATCGAGTCGCAATTTGAAAGAGTTTAAAAGAGATATTTTCTTCCTTTTTTTTTTTAAATCGTCGTTCGAGCACAATATTCCGATCAAAACTTTAACAATGGATGATACAATTTAATGGCTCGGTGGCGGAAGTTATGCAACAATCACGTTACCCTCCAATATCCCAAAGCAAAGAGACACATGTTCCCAATCACGGAAATTTACGTTGAAACTCAGAATTAGCCGCAACTATGTATGAATTACGTATATGTATATGTATGGACGCTACGCATTCGCATCGTTCTCTCTCGAGAAAACAAAAATTATACGAAACTCGACGTGAAATAAGTAGTAACGAGACACTTCGGATCAGACTAACCCGTCTAAGTATCTTTACTTATAAATTGAAAAACTTGTTCTTTTAAAAAAATGTCCACCTGGTGTTCTCAAAAATTACTCATCACATCAGCGCTATAATTTCCCCTGAAAAAATAAAATGGACGTTTCACTTCGCCTACAAACACGGAGATTATAATACAAACATAGAAGAATTCATTCCGATCGGCAATTCCATCCATCTACGCGCCCTTTTTTTCATCGGATAAAAACAAATCACCGGTATCTCTGCGCAGATACACGCTATGGGCCTGTAAACAAAAAAAAAAAAAAAACAATTCCCCGGAGGATTGGGAAGAGGAATCGGTCGATTCGGGATTAATTCGCACGCAGGGAAAAACGCATTGTTGGCGCATCTCTCGCTGAGGAAACGGGCGAGTGTCAACCGGTTCCAAGTTGGATTATCGAAGTCGCGATTTTCGGATCGACGAAAGAGTGGCGAAACTTGGGTTCATCGTCATGCTGGGTTCATCGATCGTCGGCCGGCCCCGGGAAAAGGAAATATCGATGGCCCGGAAAATTCGTCGCCGATCGAGCCTCGCCTCGATTCTCTCCACCCCCTCGATATAGAGCACCTGCACAGATTGCTAGGAGGCCGCGTCTAACTAATCGAATCCGGGCTGGTTTTCCTCTGGAAGAAGAAAGAAAAAGGAAAAAAGGAGGAAGGAAAAGGAGGAAGGAGGCGCGCGTGAAAAATCGCGGGGAGAGAGTTCGCTCGTTTTTTGGTATTTATGGACGTAGTTTTTGCGATGGTTTTTTGTAACTCCAGAAAGGGATCTGGAGTGGGATTAAAGTTGGTTTGTTGTTTAATTTTTGTATCAGATAAGTGATTCTCAGTGGACGCTGTCGCTCGTAATTTTTTGAGCGTTAATTTTTCATCATCAGGTATTTTATTATATTATTAAATGGTCGATCTGTAAGGGTATTCGAGGGTATCGATGACGAATATCTATCATTGAATAGCATTTGCTCAAGATTAAAGATTGAAGTTGAGTGAATACAACGTTAAGAGTATTTTATCGATTGTCTTATCGCTTGCTTTAGCAAATTCGATCTAATTTCTCTTATACAGATTTAAAGTTCAATATACAATATAATAAAAAAATTGCTAATTGTAAAGTTAATGGGATGGATCGCGAATCTTTGATGTAAAAAATTAATTGGATTAATCAAATTAATTGCAACGATTCGAATCTTGTTTTTCGATCGAGAAAATGTATCGAGAATATATATCGAATCAAATTATAAACGGGAACGAGCGAGATAGATTCATTTAACTTGAAAATCTACTCGACGTTGCATTGTTTATTCACTTTAGTTATTCCATTTACATAATTTAAAGTTCGTTTATTAATTAAGTTGCATTTAACGTAACAAATAAAATTTTTTTTTATATCTTCCTCGAAACTGTTTAATAAATGATAAACCTTATCTTGCCTTGTGCAGCTTAACCCCTCCAAGGGTTAATCAAGTTATCCTGCGACAGGAATTTTGATCAGCATGCTCTCGAAGAGGAAGAATTTGGTAACAACGTAGATATATTAATCCACGCTGAAATTCCTCGAATGAAGAATGAAATTCGTTTCAAAAATTTCTTAAACACCATCCCTCTCATCAGAAATTTACACCATTCTCCAAGTTTTATTTCCAAAAAGAAAAAGAAAAAAAACAGATCCACGAAATATACGATCTTTCAGACGGCGTGAAAACGTAATTTCGTCGATTCGTGTGGTGGAGATCGATCGAGAAGGGGAAATCGAGAGGCCTCGGTCGAATGCCGACCGATAAATGCCAACCGCAGAACCGCAATGGGAAGAAACGAGAAAGGGAAACGGTCAAAGATTTCGCCGAAAAGACGGTTCAGTTATATATATCTCATTGTCCGATAATTGGAGTATCTCCGTGGCGAGATCTCGAGACAACGAGGGGTTGGAAAGAGGCTTCGACGTCCCCACGGGTGCTTTTTGCTCTTCCTCGCTCCTCTTTACCCACCCTTGATCCCTCTATTCTCGTCGCCAGTCACAGAGCGTTTGAAAAATTAATCTCGTTACCACGCTTGACACGCTTCCTCGTTCGAGGACGATTTTTACGAGGCGTCGTTATTTTATGTTGAAATAATGAGCAGGGATGGATGGGCCGGATAGATATCCGCCTCCGTGAAACTCGAC